CCAGGCAGGTCTCGAACCCGCAGGCTCAGGCAATCCACTCACCTCGGCCTCCCAAAGTGCTGGGATTATAAACTGAGCCACCAAGCCCGGCACAAAGAATAACTTTTTAAAAAATTAGCCCATGTGGTGGCATGCACCTTAGTTCCAGCTACTAGAGAGGCTGAGGTGGAAGGATCACCTGATCCCAGGAGTTAGAGGCTGCGGTGAGTCATGATGTGCTACTACACTCCAGCCTGAAACAAAGACTCCAAATAAAAAATAAAAAAGATTTTTTTGCATGGGAAAGAGTGCTCATCGCTGCCAACAGACTGCATCAACCTTAAAAGTAGGAACCACGTATGTCTTCAACTTGATACCATCAACATCTTGTACACAATGGACACTTGATAAATTTCATCCTTCTGATTCAAGTTTTCCATCCATGTGCCTATACCACCAGAGGGATCCCCTGCCAAGACTTATAAGACTGATCTGAGAGCTTGGGAATATTCATGGAAACCTTGGTGAGAAGACTACACAGGAAACAGAGGCCAGGATAAAAAGACCTTAAATCGGAAATAAATTTTCAAAAGAGAAAAAGGATAAATTTGTAAATCCCAAGGTCTTGCCAAGGGAAGCCTATATCTTTACAATTATCATAACCCCCCAGGTATTATTTGGTTCACCCATCAGGATGAGGTACTTTTTAAAATGACAGGATTTTATAGAAACAGGAGACCCCTTGGGGCTCATGCCCACCTACAGACTGCCACAAGCATGGAAAGGAAAAGTGAAACCAGTCCCAGCAAGAGTCACCTTTTCACTCTAAGATTTTCAAGAACTTTACATTAATTTCTTGGGGTCTAAAGAGAGCAGTCTGCTGCAAAAGATTTTGGATTGGAGACAGAGAGCAAAGAAGATTCCAGAAGACTTGGCCACCACAAAAGGAGATTCAACATCTTTTCAAGTAGTTCTCACTTCACTTCTGACCGCCCCCAGATCACCATCTCCACCCCAGTTGGTGTTGTTTCCCAGGTAACTGAGTTTCAGCGGCAGCCACCTGATGGAGAAAGCAGGTTGGAGAAGGGGCTCAAGGCATACGACTTGTGCAGCGGAGAATGGCTCACACCTGTAATCCCAGCACTTTGGGAGGCCAAGGAGAGAGGGTCACTTGAGCCCAGGAGTTTGAGACCAGCCTGCGCAACATGGCGAGACCTCGTCTCTACAAAAAAAAGAATCCCCAAAATAGCCAGGTGTGGTGGCATGTGCCTGCAGTCCTAGCTACTCAGGAGGCTGAGGTAGATGGATCTCCTGAGCCCAGGAGGTTGAGGCTGTGATGAGCAGTGGTCATGCCACTGTGGCACTCCAGCCTAGGCAACAGAGTGAGACCCTGAATCTAGATAGATAGATAGATAGATAGATAGATAGATAGATAGATAGATAGATAGATAGATAGATAGATAGATAGATAGATAGATAGGTGGCATAGGACTTGCAGGAGGTTTCTTGTCTACTCCTCTACCGTCTTCCAAGTAAGAGGAGTGGAGGGGAGGGAGGGAGGGAAGGAAGGAGGGAGGGAGGGGAGGAGGGAAAAAGGAAAGAAGGAAAAAAAAAAGAGGAGTGGAGAATTGCGGGTTGTAAATGCCTGGAAAATGCCAGTAAGGGAGGCACGGATCGGACCGACGCGTTTCAGCATTGAGGCCAGGGAGGGGGTTCTGGTAAATGGGTACGGATCTTGGAGAGAGGGAAGGTGGAACGGGACCCCAGTTCTGGAGCCAGTTCTATAGCTCCTAGGGAAACGGCCAGTGGGGAGAAACTGCTAAGTAGGGGAGCGTTCCCTGTGTGAGCACCCAGTTTTTGTGGGACCTTCCAGGTACCTCGCACTGGCTGATGGAGGGGCGAGGAGGAGGTAAGGGGACTGCAGAAAGGGTCTGCAGGGGCTGTACGTGACTCCTTCGGGAGCCCAATGCACCACAGAGGAGTGCGGGGAGGTGACCAGCGTCTGGAGGTGGAGGGATGGATGGCGAGGTTTCGGAACGTGTTGGAAAATGAGATTCCAGCCAAGCAAAAGGTCTGATGAAATGGGTCTGGGAATTGAGGGAAACTGGGGGAAAAATGGGGGCGGGTGGCCCCGCGCCGCGCTGGGCGGTCGGCCTCCGGGCTCTTACCTGCATCACAGGTGGAGGTGAGGGGCCACCGGCTTTCTGTCTTGAGTGCTGCCCGGCTGCGGAGTCTGGGGCCCTCGGCCTGCTCCCGAGCCCTCCTCCCCCGCGCCTCGAGCCTGGCCCCGAAGCCTGCAAGTCGCGTGGGAGGCAGGCTCTTGCGAGAAGCGACCTGGCGTGTGAGCCCAGGTCCCCCGCGGCAATCGCCATCCTTCCGGGAAACGAAAGCGAAAGAGCGGGATGCGGCCATCACCCCGCCAGGCGGCTTCGGGGAAAAGGCGGGGGTCGGGCCCGGCGGGCGCGGAGCCTCGGGGTGCTGTCCAGCCGGCGGACAGCCCCTCGGGGCAGCCCTGACCTCGGCTCCCGGGGGGTGGGCGGGGCGTCCTGGGCTCGGGACCACGGCCCAGCAACTCCGTGTCGCCCCTGTGCGTCTCCGCAGATGGGCCGGGCAAGGGCCGCCCGGCGGTGGGGGTGGGGTCTTCCTCTCCCCCTTAGGGGTGGGGTGACCTCCCAGTCCCCGATCCTGCTGTTTGGCCCCGTGGGGAGCCCACAGCCCTCCGCTCGTAGCACCAAGCTGTGGCGCTCGCGGGTCCCGATTGACTCCTCTCCGCAGACCTCTGGCTGCTCCAGGCGTGGCCCGGCTCGCCTGTCACTGCATCCACCTGTCTCGGCTCCCCGTGCCTTGAGGGGAAGCGGAGAGAGGTGGTAAGCACAAAAGCAAGCCGACACACCCCAAAGAGAAGGAGAGAAAAGTTTTAATAACCTTTTGCTGAAAATCCAAGGATGTAGACGCTGTCATAAGGAAGACTTGGCATTGGTGTATCATAGGTTCAAGGCCAGCAATAAGTAGTCGGTAAAACCAAGGCCCCGGGACCCAATGAAAACATGAGCAAATGAAATGCCAAATGGCCCCTGGATATAGAAAAATATACTTAGGTTAATTCATTATTTAAAATGTGCAAAGTAAAGTTATTTTGTGGGATATCTTTTTTTTTTTTTTTAATCGGGGTCTCACTCAGTCGCCCAGACTGGAGTGCAGTGGCCGCTCCCGGCCACCGCAGCCTTGTCCTGCTGGGCTCTGGCGATCCTTCCACCTCAGCCTTCCAAGTAGCCGGTTACAGGCATGCACTACCACGCCCGGCTGATTTTTTGATTTATTGTAGAGATGAGGTCTCGCCAAGTTGCCCAGGCGGGTCTCGAACCCGCGGGCTCAGGCAATCCACTCACCTCAACCTCCCAAGGCGTGGGATTACAGGATGAGCCACCGAGCCCAGCTGGGATATCATTTTTTAACCTACGAATATGAGGAACATGTAAAAGTTTAATAACGTGATCTGCTGGGGAAACTCAAGGGAACAGGCACTCCCCTGGGAAAACGAAGCATCTAGCAAAGTTACAAATGCATGTTCTTTCGACTCAGCAGTCCTACTGCCAGCAATGTATTCAATAAATTAGCAAGATATACATGGATATTTATTTAATCATGGTTTATAATAGCAAATGATTAGAAATAACTTGTGTCCATAAAAAGGGGCTAATAAAATAATGTACATTCATTTTATTTTTATTATTTGTTTAGAGACAGGGTCTCATTCTATCTCCCAGGTTGGAGAGGCAAGATCATAGCTCACTATAACCTTGAACTCCTGGGCTCAAGCAATTCTTCCACCTTGCCTCTTGAGTTACTGAGATTACAGACGTGAGCCATGACACCAGGCCAAATTATGTACATTCATTTAACAGAATACTGTGCGGCATCTGAGGAAGCTTTCTGTGGATCATGGCAAGCTCTCCAAGAGGCAGTATCGAATAATGGTCATAAATCTGGGCCAGGCAGTGGCTCATGGTTGTAATCCCAGCACTTCGGGAAGCCGAAGTGAGAGGACTGCTTGAGTCCAGGAGTTTGAGACTGGTCTGGACAATATAGCAAGACCTCATCTCTACAAAAAAAAAATCCAAAAATTAGCCAGGCGTGGTGGTGTATGCCTGTAGTCTCGGTTACTCAGGAGGCTGAGGCAGAAGGATTGCCTGAGCCCCAGAGGTCGAGGCTGCAGTGAGTCAGGATTGCACCACTGCACTCCAGCCTGGGCCACAGAGACACCCAACTAAAAAAATCTAGACTCAGGGCACCCTGCCTAGCTCAGAATCCCAGCCATGTCACTTACAGTCTGTGTGCTCTTGAGCAAGTTAGTTAACCTCTCTAGTGCCTGTCTTGACCAACTGTTGCCTCAATTAGGACAGCCTGCCCGGCTTTGAATCCCAGCCACGTCACTTACAGTCTGGGTGCCCTTGAGCAAGTTAGTTAACCTTTCTAGTGCTTGTCTTGACCAACTGTTGCCTCAATTTCCTTAACAGTAACACAGGCTAATAATAATACCTAGCTCATAGGGTTGTTATAAACAGTGAGTTAATATTTGTAAAACGTCCAGAACAGTATCTGACTACCCACACTAAGCAAAAAAAAAAATCAAGGTACAGACCAGTGTGAATTACATGCTACTTTTTGTGTGTAAATATATATATGGGCATATGTATACATAGACATATATGTATTTAACTAGTATTTATACAAAGAAACTCTGGAAGGAAACATAACAAACTAATACGTATAACTGGAATTCAGGGTAGAAAATAAGAGACAGGGTTTTCACTGAAAACCTTTTTATATTTTTTATTTTTGGACTATATAAATATCTATTCAAAAGAATTTTTTAGCCGGGCTCAGTGGCTCAGCCTGTAATCCCGTGCCTTGGGAGGCTGAGGTGAGTGGATTGCCTGAGCCCGCAGGTTCAAGACCCGCCTGGGCAACTTGGCGAGACCCCATCTCTACAATAAATCAAAAAATTAGCCGGGTGTGGTAGCATGCACCTGTAGTTCCAGCTACTTGGAAGGCTGAGGCAGAAGGATCGCCGGAGCCCAGCAGGTCGAGGCTGTGGTGGCCGGGAGCGGCCACTGCACTCCAGTCTGGGCAACAGAGTGAGACTCCGACTCAAAATAAAAAAAGAGAATTATTTTTTAAAGGAAGTTTTGGGGTCTCCTCCATTCCAGCCAGCCATAACCTAAGTAATAATGGAAATAAATGATTATTGCCAAGACAGACTAAAAAATGGGGACATTTCCCTTTGGAATGACAAAATAATAGATTTTGTATGATCAAAATCTATGAACAAATATGAGCAAGAATAAGGGGAACTCCTTATTCACAAAAGAAATATGCACAGGTGTAGGTCAGGTACAGTGACTCACACCTGTAATCCCAGGACTTTGGGAGGCCGAGGTGAGAGGATTGCTTGAGCCCAGGAGGTCAAGACCAGCCTGGGCAATATAATGAGACTTCATCTCTATAAAAATAGATAGATAGATAAAATATGCACAGGTGTTTTATGCTCTATAAAATAACAACATTTATTTCATGTTTTAAAATAACTGTTTTCCTATGAAGAACTCAAGATGCATACATAGAACTTTCAATTTATAACAACAAACTTTTTAAAAAATTGTAATTCTTTAGAAAGGGGGCAGAGGAGGAATATGAGGTAGACAAAAAGGTAAAAGGAGAAGAAAAGAAGTGAAAAAACTACATTAGAGCATGTAGAAGAGAATGGTAACATACATTCAACTGGCAAAGGGCTCGCTGACCAATAATAGCAAAGCCATCCAGCAACAGAAAAACAAGTTTTTGCCTTATGATGGATTCACAACTCGTTTGGGTCTTGCATTCTTCCAGAAGGCAGGACTGGTGGTCAAGGACTAAGCACTCACGATTTTAAGCAGGCAAGCCCGTAGGAGGATGGCAGAACAGCAAAAGACACCTCTGGGCAGGGTCAAGTGGTGGTGGGAAAACAGGAGTGTTTACGGAAGACTTGAAGTGGGTCACAGAGGAGTGTGCGTATGAAAGGCGAGAAAAGAACTCAAGAAAGACCTGGAAACACCCAACAGGTGTTTGGGGCCTCTCGTCATGGAAATGGGAACGTAATTGGGGCATAGAGGTTGGATATGAGCATTAGAGATGGACAGTTCCCTTTGATTTTCCAGAGATGGCTGGAGCCAGGATTGGGAGACTGAAAGTCAGGACGGGGTAGGGGAGAACAAGTTGCTGAAAAGAACATATCTGGACATGGTAACAAGAGCGGAGCCCACAAGTCACTGGAGGGCACGGTACCCAGGGAGAGGCCAGGAGAAAGCGTCCATTTGTGACCTCTGATTTTGAAGACGAGATTCTATTTCATATAAGGAAATGAGCAGTGTTTCCTTACAAGAAACACTGGGACCATCTGCAGCACTGGTGTTTTCTGGGCAGCAAGGCTTCCTGGGTTCCTAATTACTCCTTGGGCTTTACCATGAGACGATGGCAGACACTTCATAGTTAGTTGCTCTGAACAGACAAATGGCCTATGAGTCCACAGTTCTCCAGCAAACCAACAGGGATGGGTAAAAAGAGAGACAGACAAAGGTATTCTTCCCATCTAGCCCAGTGGGATTCATGTTTCTCAGAGAGTAAAAAGAAAACAGAACTTGACATTTACATTCCTTTTAGAGCAAATGGTTATTCCAGAAAAAGCGCAGCCACACCTGAACTCTTCTAAAGAAAAATAAAACAAAATGAGCCAGTGCAGCTCTGTCATTCCGTTGAAGATCCTGTTTGAAAAAAGAGAAAAACCTTTTTTAAAAAAAGCAATAGGATAATTCAAAGTTAGAAATGTAACACAACAGAAAATATTAGCTCCATCAATGCAGCAAACAAGCGTCTTGCGTAGCTTTATGAATTGTATGAGCTGAAGGAGGGTACCTAGGTCTGTTCCATAGGTCTATGTCCTCCATATCACCTTGGAAGTTTCCCCTTTTGGCCATCAGCAAACTGGGGCATTCTTTTCAGAGCTGTAGCCTATTCCTGTGGCTTCCCAGAACACTTTCCTAGTCCTCTCAAAGAAGCAAGCACATTTGTTTGGGGGCCAGAAAAATGGATAGGACTTGGATGGGCAAAGAGGTGAAGTGACTATTAGCAGAGCTCGAGGTAACACATTGCTCACCAGGTTGGTGGGGCAAAAAGTAAATTTCACCATTTACGTGGAAACACCAGGGGAAAGAGGCTGAGGGTCAAACACAAATGCCCTGCCCCATCCTTGCCCGTGCCCCTACAGTCTGTTCTCAACACAGCCTCCTCTGTGGATGGTTG